CAAAATCATTTTAAAATCCACTGGCCCATTTTAATTTGAAACAAATGAATATACTTTATGTAATTTTACTGTAATATTAATATCTACTTTTTAGTATTTGTATGCATTGAATAAATTTTATTGGATGGCTAGTTTTGTATATGTTTTTGAATTGGGCTACGTTAATTTGTAAAAGTTACGAATGAAATGTCATTAATTGTATTTATATAGTGTTGCTGAAAATATTAAAAAATTTAATTATGGTACGGAATCGAACGGAACCAAATTGACCCGAACCGAATCGAACGGAACCGAACCCGAAAGGTTCCATAATTATATTTGGACCCGACGGGTCCATTTATTAAATACCCGAAAGTTTTGGGTCGGTTCGGATCTCTTCAGAATCTAACCGAACCGAACCGAACCGAATCGATCCATGGACAGCCCTAATCTTGAGCACAAGTTTGTATTGCTTATCAATCACCGGGTAATCAACTCTAAATTCAAGCTTCCCATTCCATATTGGGTTGCGACCTTGCGCTACGTCATTATAAAATCTCGTAAGTTATTCCGAATTGGACTCTATAAAATATGTCATTTTTTATTGTTGGAGCATAGTCATGTCCGTATATTTTTTCTTTGATTTCTTGTTATGTATGTTAGTTAATGATTATTATCATAAGAGTTTACATTTATATTGTTTGATCTCTCGCAATTAACAAATTAAACCAGACCAAGTCAAACTAACTTCCATGCGAATAAGGAACCGCTTAGTTTGTGTTTCAATTTTCAATTTTGAGTTTAGAGTTTATTTTCAATTATATGTTTTGAAAGTCTGTTTTAAGATTATTAAATGCGCATTTGGTTTATCATTTTTAAAAATTATGTTGGGTTTGGATACTCAATAAATTTCGGACAATAACATTAAACGGTTTAGATTATATTTCATTGGCCTCAACCGATGAGTGAAATTATTATCAACACAATTAATTTATAGGCTCGACCCGAAAGCAACGTGGGCCACTAGTAACAACTTAATTTGTTAATATTGTCTTGGCCCAAATTCACTTATAAGATGGCTTTCTTCTAGTCTTGGGCTAATTGATTATATAACCCACACTGTATAGCCTCGCATTTTATTCATTAGAGCTATGTGTGCTTTGCCCCCTTTTTGAGATAAAACAAACGGTGGATGTGATTTGTGCTTGTTGTGCCTTAGCTTCTTTGTTGTTGTTCTCTTTGCCTTTTGTGGCTCGTAAATTATCATCATAACCTTATCCCTTTGTGAAAGAGAAAGAAAGAAAACAACCATAAGTTAATACATAGTTGTAGGTTAGAGCTTTTGGTTGATTGTGCTTTGATATTGGTTGGTTGAAATTAAGCCTGAATTCCACAAATTTAAGATCAAATCCACAACAAATTGTTTTTAAAAACATAAAACTAGAAATTACATTTGGTTTCAAATTTTGAAAATTTATTTTATGACACTTTATTTCACGAAATTTGATTATTCGGTAAAATAGAATAATTTTATGCCAATATATTATCAAGTAATATATACATTTTAAAGCTGATGAATCTTATAAGATGAATCTTATAATATTTTTTTCTCGTTACTAAATAAAAATAAATATTAAATTGAGTGGCAAATAAAAATAAATATTAAATTATTTTTACGCTGTTATTCTTCGACGAATTTCATTCAAATCATTCATAACATGAAAGTGCTGCATTATGCAAAAAAAGTTGTCAATAACTTATTCTATTCGGGTTCATTTCTTTTACCATAATGACATAATTTATTTAGATATCTTAATTTTCAATATTTCATGTACCTGAATCTGGGATTTTACAATTTGTCATGACTGTATACTTACTAAGAGTATATGCTTCCTCAGTGGAACTATATTTATTCTTTGCTCTATTTTTTGGAGATTTTATCTTGGATGTCATCATGTGTTAGACGTGCCATTACTTTATCGAATATAATGTTAACACTTCTATGCAATATATGGTGGAGAGATTTCACATTTATTGCACTATAAAAAATCTTTAGATAAGATATATTAGGCTACGGCTACAAGTCAGCTATAGCAATGAGAATTTCGATGTTGACATGATACGTATAGTGTCACTGCGTACAAAAAGCATTTCCTAGACAAAAAACGAAAAACTTTTTAATCTCAATAGTAATGGTTTAGAAATTAGTTGGAGGCACTTAACAATCAATTGTGTTAAACAAATAAATGTCATCCTAACTACCATTTATCATAGGACAACCTAATCAACATTTATATACCCAAATATTTGAATCAAAGAATAATAAATTTCAAAAACCTAAATTCACATTTTTAGAAAGTTCCTTTTCTTGATTCCAGCCTGTACATATTTTTCTTCTTCTTCTTCTTCATTCTTCTTGCTCCAACGGATCAGTTTGATTCTTTTGGTGGTTCGTTCTTCATCGTCCAAGTATCTTCGTGAAGATTTTTTAAAGTATTTTTCTTCAACACTTTCTTTCTGTAATCAAAAAACATTGACCAAACCTTGTACATCAGTATCAAATTGTTAAAAGAAGCCTAAAATTTATTCCATTACGAAGATTTTTTCTTGTAACAATTTGATTCTAATAAGGGTTATGCTACTTTGATAGCAAAATGTTGACACGTGCTCTGACATAAAAAGTATTGGCAATATATGATTGGATGTAAAAGTTAACTGTGTTTTAAACAGTCTAATAATAAAATGTCACGTGACATTATATCAATGATTATGTTGAGTACCTTTACACCAAATTTAATTCCAACTTGAATCTCTCCGCAATAAGTTAGGTTGGTGTCTACAACTCTGTATTTCTGAGGTCGAAGTTTAGCCTTTCCTTTCTCCACTCCTAATTCTATAAGTTCTGTCACATAGATCCTGCATTCATGTAGATTGTGATAAGTTACATTCGGACTAATAAGAATAAGACTAAACACGATTAAATAAGAGATGTGTTGATAAATATCATATCATCTTACTTTGCCTCACCGAGATAGTCATCTGCACTGTAAGTATTGTGATCCATAATCTTGAGCACGAGTTTGTGCTGCTCATCAGCCACTGGATAATCGACACTATACTTAAACTTCTCATTCCATTTTGGGTTGCGACCTTGCCCTACATTATTATAGAAATTAAAATCTCATCAGTTATTTTATTTTGGAGACTACAAAATTTGTCATGTTTTTTTAATGTTGGTGCATTGTCATCTTCATATATTTGGTCTTTGATTTCAAGTTATGTACGCTAATTAATGTTTATACTGTTTGATTGTTTGCAAGTTACAAATTAAATCAGGTCAAATCAAATTAATTTCCGTGCAAGTAAATTCTTGGAATATGTTGACAAGTAATGTATTTATCTAACTTGGAAAAACAAATCGAGATGTTTAAAAGTCATTGGTCTCTTTAACTTAAATACGTATCTAACGAATTTTATTCAAACACGTATGATTTTCTAATAACAAGAGGTACGATCCAATGATGGAGCATTAAATGAATCCCGATGAACAAAAGAAGGATTCTAGGACCCAATTAGCACCCAAAACAGTACATGAAACTGTTTATATGCGTGCGAGCGTGCATACGTAGAATGTTACCTTTTGCAATGCTGCTCTTGCTCTCTTGATTTCTATATTGAACCACGACGTATGGATCCATTCCTCCTGCACAATAAATCAATAATGTATATGTCATATTATCAATTTTTTTGTCAATTCTTTTACATGTCATGTAATAGACTACAATGTAAAGCATAATCCCACTCTACACCTTACAATAATAGGTTAGGACTCGCCATTTATATGAGGTCCTTTTGATATATTGAACTTTTTTGAGGGAAAAAAAACAAGAATTTATGTTGATTAGGGAAGCCTCATTCAATGAATTAGATTGAAAAATACTCATCGTTCGATTGACTTGTCCAATTTAGTTGCGCCGATGAAATATCTTAGTCTAAAAAAGACTCGATATGATTAAAGAAGAGCAAATGTCGATTGAGGAAATCTAGTCGAGAAATTATTTTTGGGTTCAATATGAGAAAAAGAACTCGAATCATATGATTTTTTTCTTCTCAAATCAATATTCAAGAAATGCGCGATACAATAAACACATTACATCTGTCTATTAGAATCACAGACAAAGAGGCATGCATACCTAGGAAATGAGAGCGTTTGAGACCTTTAGCACTCACCAGCCTCACCTTCATTATTCCAATCTCCATCTCTCTAAGACTCAGAAAATATAATATTTGAAGAGATTAAAGTCTCTGTGTCGAAATTAAGGATAAGAATTAAAACAAGAGAATCTTTAGAACTGTTTTTCAATCTTTGTGGGACTCAGTTTCTGTGGGAGGCTTCATTTTATAGGCAAGAGGCTGCGTCTGCAGTGCGTATTGGCGGCTTAATTTTGATGAAAGCTAGTTGAATACTTGTAATTACGCGGCAACGAACTGCTCTCCTTTCTTGTTTGACATCTTCCAATCTAAACTAGTTGATAGTTATCTAATACATGGCTGTTTCCTATCTCTTTCTTTTGGTTTCTTAGGTAGGTTTGTGTTATCAATTACAGTCTAATACGGCACAAAGAGGCTGCCAAGGAGAGTAGTGGGCCCTACCAAGAAATTAAGAGCATGTTTGGCTAAGCTTAAAATATAATTAAAATTGAAAATATAATCGTTATTATGTCTCACTAGTCTAATAAAAGTCAACAATAACGACTAGTTTTTCAATTTTAATCTGATTTTAATTTCTACTGAACACGCATTTTAAAATGTTAAAAAGGAAAGAGTTTATCCCACCATTTTTTTTTTGTTAAAATGGATTTTGGAATAGTGATTTGATGTAGAATGTATGGTCAAAAAATAAGAAAAAATTTTGAATTTAGGTGTAATATTATTTTATTGAAAAATGTGTGGTTAAAAATGAAAGAAAAAAAAAATTGTATTTTAGAAATAACGAGAACCGAACAGGGGCTTAATTTATTTCTATAACATAGTGCCACCTAACATAAAAATGTATTTTATATTTTCATTTAAGGTCTTGACGTGCACACAATTTTCATAAACACACGATGACAAGATTAAAATTAAAAATTAAATTCAAAGCATAACTAGTTTCTTTACTGCTATTCATTTAAATGATTAAATTGTATCTTCAAAGTCCACAATTTGCCAATAGTTTTTTCTTGGATGTTTTTCCATTAAACCCTTCAATTTGACTCCACCACAAGATTTCAACATGATTAAAAAAATTGCAACGTGCTAGAAAAAGTCTTTAAGAATAATGGGACGAGAATAATTGACCTACTCCCTGGTGAATTGAAGTTGAATTTTCAAAATATGACCTTAACCTTGGTCCCCTTTGTCATTAAACGACAACCTTATTGGTGCATTCAAGAAAGGCTTCCGTGACCTGTTATATTTGTTTGTAATCCTACAAAAACAATAATAAATGTGAAAATTATGTTGGAAAAAATTCCAGTCAATCCTTACAAATTGAACATATTGTTTTCGTTCTACAAGTAAACGAGTGCTTAGATTTTAATTCAGATTTTTTTTTATTTTTTATTTTTGGCAAAAAATTTTGAACTTTACATATTTCAAAGTAAATCCCAAGGCTAGCACTTTAGACACATTTTAGAAGTAAATTTAGTGATTTCGAAAGAAATATTTTCGCTTTCTGGGGACTAGGCTAGGGCGCTTGATTTACTCTAAAATTCTTTGGGGGCAAACACATTTTTTCTATAAGTAAAAGTTTTATGGTTTCTGAGTTTTTTTAATTATTATTAGAACAATCACTTGCTTATTCACGGCAGTGCATTTTGTTAGAAAAGAATCGTCTTTTTTTTAATACTTCTCCTTGTTGAATAATGGACAATACACAAGGAGCCGGGCTCAATTTACCAACCAAATCAACACCCAATCAATCGATCCAAAACCTTCAAACTGTTCCTCTCTTCGGTTGCTTTCAATTGTACCCACGTAGGATACAAAAGGAAGGTGTTTTGCAGCCACAAAGGCGGAGCAACAAATGCTAAAAAACAATGAGAAGATGAACGAGACAAACTACAAGCGGAAGCACAAAACACAAGGGAAGGCAGCCGTGTCTCTCTCTCAATTCAAGGGCAAATCACACTTCTAATGACAAGGCCGTGAAGGAGAAATATATATAAGATCACTTATGGTACAGTAATGGGTCAACCCAACAAGAATACGATAAGTGGGCCAAATAAGTCATCCACTAAGTGAAGAACCGGCCCATGAGCAACTCTAATTAATTAGGGGAAAAATTCATATTTCAGGTGTATAGTTTACACCAATTCAAAAGTCGGGTAGATAGTTTAACAATTCAAAACTCAGGTATTAAGTAATTAATTAAAAATATTGATTAATTAGGTTACAATTATACAATTAATGGTCACATATATATAATTATAGGTTACAATTTATTTATTGGTCACATTATCAAATTAATTAACCACTGATGATGTCGAGGTCACAAATTCAAAAAAGTATAGGTCACAGTTTATTTCATTGGTCAAATATTTTCAAATTTGTTGGTCACAGATTATTTTTCAGTCACATATTGTCAAATGTTTAGGCCAAAGTTAAATACTTGGTCATATACCATCGACACTACCACTTCAGCCACTTTTGACCACCTTGCCGCCACCATCACCACCACGGCCACCAACTTCACCACCAACAAACGTAGAGGTGTCAAGATGGACGGACCGGCCTGACCCGTGAAAATTATAAATAATTCATGTAACATTAAATTTGAATTCTATGTAAACATTTCTTGATATAAATATGAATTTATCATTTTGTTCAATTCTTAGTTTTTATTTAACAAAAAAAAATATATTTTTTGTTATAAATATGAAGAAATCTATATTTTTATA